GAATTACTCTAGCCGAAAGTTGAGACTTAAATCCGCACGCTGAATAAAATGAAGGGAAATATACCAAATAATACAGTGGTTGTGTATGAATGGATAAGATTATACATGGAACCTTTTTAAATTTTTTTACACGGAGCATTTTTATACACTTTCTTTTAACTTTCTGTAATATCTGCTGAGGTTGAAACAAAACCATTCACTATTTAAAAAGAAGACACCAATGAAATCATCACATACCTTCCTACCAATTTGAACCAATGGAATCGATCATAAAATGGATCGCTGCCAGTCACGGTGGCTTCGCTTTCATCCTGGGCACCAGAGGCCACCTCACCTGCTCTGTCATACATCTCTCGCATCAAATCCAGCCTCTGCCTGCACACACACAAACATAAAGTGCACCGGGTTAATATCATGAGATTGTATTACAATTTCACTTTGGAAGCATCTTCCATGCAAGATTTAAAAACAAAACAAAACAAAAGCTGCTTCCACCATTTAATGATATTAAAAAAGAATGAAGGCCAGAAGTACAGAAACTCAAACACTCAGTATCCAAAGTGTCTGAGTCTAGACACAAGCCACCGAAAGCAAAAAAAAATGGCTACCTAACCTCTGCTGAATTATAGGAGAAATATAGTTCAATGGTAGATGACACCTCCAATATACCCAACGGTAGAAAATATGTCATCAACTTAAATGCAAAGGAAAACTACATTATAGCTTTCCTATTTTTTACTCATCATCCTCCAGAACAGAAAAGATGACTAGTTATTACATCCAAGATAGAAACAGGTATCATGAGACTGGAGCATTGAAAACGTAAGAGGGGCACCTGGGTGGCTCAGTCGGCTGAGCGTCTGACTTCGGCTCAGGTCATGATCTCACAGCTTGTGAGTTGGAGCCCCACGTCAGACTCTTGTGCTGACAGCTCAAAGCCTGGAGCCTGCTTCGGATTCTGTGCTCCTCTCTAGCTCTGCCCCTCTCCTACTCATGCTCTGTCTCTCTCTCTCTCTCTCTAAGAATAAATAAACATTAAAAAACAATTAAAAAAAAAAAGAAAAAATGTAAGAGGGTCTACGGAGGGACAATTTAGGTCATATCTACAAATGACAAAGGTGTCAGAGTGGGATCCACTCACTTAGAAGAAAATGGATGGACAGTAAATGTCACAATGACATTTTAAATCTTGCATGGAAGATACTTCCAAACCATCCAGAACCACAGAAAAGGATGCAACAGTGACCTCCTCACAGAACGGAGAGTCTGAGGGAGCCCATCTGAGCAAGTCACTATTATTCCCTAAATAAAACAACACTTCCTTCATGAGGAATGTTTCCATACTTGAGTTTCTCCAAAGACCAATAATGTGTCGCTCCATTCTTCAGATCCTGCACTTCTACCGCCACCACCGTCCGCGGGAAAGGCCTGTCGTCGTGAGTTTTTTCCACCTCAGTGGGAAGTAACTCTGGAGGCAGAGGCGAGTACAAGGTGTCGGTCAGCAGAACGAACTGGAACTGCACCTACGTGAACGGAATAAACCATGCAAGTGGCCTCCGTGTTTTCAGCAAGTCAGCTTCAGAAACAAGGCGACAGAATCACGCCCCACAGGGAAGAGGTCAAACGAGTAGTAGGTGCCTGAGATTAACGGGGGAAAATATGGCCGCTTGTACATTAGTCGTAGAGAACCATCCTAATGTCAAATGAAGCTATTTCCAGACTCTGCTTTCCTGCCCTGGCCCAGTGTGTTCACACAAACTAAAACCTCAGTGCACGTACCTTTGTTGACTGAGTGAAGACTCTTGAGAACGTACACAAGAGAACAAAGGGGGGGGGACCTGCGAGTCTGTCTCGAGCGCCTCGCAGAGAGGGGGTGGAAGCGTCACAGCTGGCTTTCCGTTCGAAATTCCAGGGTCACAAGCGCTACTCTTAAAAGTGTTCACTGTATGGTAAGTGCTTTTCAAGCACCATGTCATTTATTTCTCGCTACTGCCCCGCGTTTTCGCCTACAAATATTAATGACATCTAAGACACAGTCTGTGCCTTCATTTTGTCTACTTGAAGAGAGAAGATAAATAATTACAAAATGAAATGGGTTGCTGAGATGTGAATGAAGAAGACATCTTATCCCTATTTTACAGAACTAGACGATAGCCCTCGGGGAAGAGACTGAATCTCCCCAAAGCCGGGCAGTCTGTGCTCTCTCCTGCCATGTGACACTGCCCACCCCCCATCACCTTGCGGCCCCCAGGCCGTTCGGCGGTGGCACGTACAGTGGGATGCAGCACGTGAATCGGAGATGCGGTGTGACGGTTCGGTAATGAGGAAGATCGGGAACATTTATCATCTTTTACCACGTCCAAGAGCTATTCCAGCTCTTTACGTGTCCTCACTGTTTCATCCCTCACAAAACCCTAGACGGCAGGGGCTGCTGCCAAGCCCATTTTATGGATGAGGAAATGGAGGCACAGGGCCGTCAGAGTCAACGCAACCAGGAGAGCTGGAATTGGAATCCAGCCGGCTGAGGGCAGAGCGCTTGTCCACTGCACGAAGCTGCCTCTCACACCCTAGAGGAGGAGGGGCACTTAGGACTTGCAGCTGTAAATGTAACGGCAGAGAACTAAAAGCAAATTGAGAATTTCAGAAGCGCAAGAGTAGCTTTCTCCTACTAACATGTTTCCCTAGCTCTTGTCGGAATATAGTCTCCTCTGTAAACAAGCTAGAAAACATGTTCTTTTAAAAATGTCATGTAATAAATATTTAATTAGTATCTACTACGTTCCAGGCACATATGTAAAAGAAAGGCACATATAAACCTGTTTCATAGCAAAAAGCAGCTGAGTTCACCCAAGGGAAAGGTCAGCTCAAGACTGGGAGCCACGAACCCCCTCGGACTCAGCTGTGTCTCCGGACGACCCATGTTCTCCTGCCCTCCGTACCTTCTTCTTCAGTTCCACACTGATGGCGTTGGCCTCCTTCAGGTAAACAGCATTGCCCCAGAGTAAGTCCCTTAATGAAGTAAACTGGTGAGACTTCCATTTCCGGAAGGCCCACTGGGCCAGCTCAAATTCATGTTGTGTCCAAGGGACTGAAAGGGCAAACGAAGCGTGATTAATGGTGATCTCCTAACTATGTAGCAATTACATCTCTCCTCTACCTCATCTCTCTTTTCAAGTTAAAGTATTGTCCAGTTTTTCTCCATTCACTTGCTTTTGTCTTCTTCTTGTCAGTAACGCTTACTAAATTCTGCTGATATTGTGAAGGTAGCATATACATTTCAGAAAACTTAAAAAAAAATCCTGCTATTTAAAACAGTACGGGGGTGCCTGGGTGGCCCAGTCAGCTAAGCGTCTACTCTTTTGATTTCGGCTCAGGTCATGATCTCACAATCCGTGAGATCGAGCCCCGCGTCGGGCTCTGTGCTGAGCGTGGAGCCTGCTTGGGATTCTCTCTCTCTGCCCCTCCCCTGCTCAGGCCCGCACTCTTTTAAAATAAATAAACAAACATCAAAAAAGTAAATAAAGCAATGTATTAAAGAAATATACTTCAGGGGCGCCTGGGTGGCTCAGTCGGTTAAGCGGCCGACTTCGGCTCAGGTCACGATCTTGCACTCTGTGATTGGAGTGCCCAGCGTCCGGGCTCTGTGCTGACAGCCAGAGCCTGGAGCCTGTTTCAGATGTCTGTCTCCTCTCCCTCCCGTTCATGCTTTGTCTCTCCCTGTCTCAAAAATAAATAAACGTTAAAAAAAAAAAAATTAAAAAAAAAAAAAAGAAATATACTTCAAAAAAATAAAAAATAAAAAAAAATTTTAAAAAAAGAAAAGAAATACACTTCCTTTAAAAAAATACACGTATCTATTATAGGGCTTATAATAAAGGAAAGTCCTCCAGTATATCGTGCAACTTCATGTGTATCTATTTTTCTTGCTAGTTCAGGAAGCAAAAAGGTCAAAATTTTACTTCACTATTAAAAAATGAATTTAGTACATAGAGTTCCTTCAAAGTTAATTTATCTGCAACATATACATGAACTTCATATATACAGTAATATGAAACATACATGTAAACTGCCCAAGAGATTTTTGTGAAGACCACGCTGAGAAATCTTGTGCCCCGGGAACACTGCCAGCCCCGCTCCCACGTCAGAGAGCACAGTCTGTAGAATGGAGAGTCTCTTGAATCACCTTTAAACCGGCTCGGCAAAATATCAATAAATGGTAGGGTCACCTATGATCAAATCCAGCTTTGACCCCAAAAAAGGGTTAATCTGATAGTACAGATCCAAAAGATCTACAGTAGGAAGTTTCCATCCCTAGATTTCACCTTCTTCCTCCTCTTCCTCCTCTTCCGTTGTCTCGGCAGCGAGGGAGCGGGTCTCAACTTGCTTCTGCAAGGCCTGCAACTTACTCTCATAGTCCTGGATGAAAACAGAGGAGAGGACATGTAGGAGAGGGGGGAAGTGGAGGGAGGGCAGGAGAGATGAGCGCAGTACTGGCGAAAGCAGAGAGAGCATAAGGTAAAAGAAGACAGAGGCAGGAGGCGACAATAAAAAGACAGACACAGAAATACATAGGAAAAACCCACAAAACACACAAGATGGTGTGTAAAGGGTAAGTGCTGAGGAAAGCTAATGGCAGTCTCTCTCTATTCCCTCAGACACAAGAGTTCTTTATGCGGGGCTCAGGTCCAGATGGGGGGGATTTCGAGGGGGAGAAACGCAGGTGCCCCTTAAATTTATTCAACAGTAGTACTTAAGTAGTACCTTCACACATCAAGGAATCCCAGGGAAAAACAATACTGGAAAATTCACCAGTATCACCAACAATTCTGATTATCTAGCTGTTTGGATGGGAACTATGGACTCTGAAGCTCTCTGTGGATGAAATATTATTGTCTTTGCAGCTGTACGATGTGGCCTTCAGGTAACCAAAGGATCACAGTGCTATTAGAACCAAAATAATCTATAGATTGTATTTATTCAAGAAAGATATTCTAAAATATACTATTATGAAACAAAACATATTATTGTAATACACATCAGATTTATCCTTCACTTCTCCATCTACTCCATGCGTTCTCGGTGAGGGCGGTATCACCCTGAAGAGGGCAAAGAATGGCTTCTGAAGGATACAAAAAAAATCTTACTTTTTATATATAAAGCACAAATGTATACACGGCATGTAAACAGATGTACTTAGGTATCTGAGATTAAAATTTCATGGTGGGGACAGATTAAGGAAAAAGTGTCTAAAAAGGTTCCTTGGAGCGTTAACTTTAAAAAGTTTGTGTTGCAGGGGCACCTGGGTGGCTCAGTCGGTTAAGTGTCCAATTCTTGATTTCGGCTCAGGTCATGGTCTCGTGGTTCGTGGGTTCAGGCCCCACTGGGCTCTGTGCTGACAGTGTGGAGCTTGCTTGGGATTCTCTCTCACTCTCTCTCTCTCTCTCTCTGCCCCTCCCCTGTTCTCTCTCTCTCAAAAAATAAACTAAAAAAAAAAAACCAAAAACAACAACCAAAAAACAAATTTAAAAAGCTTGTGTTGTTTGAAAAAGCAGAGACCTTCACATAATAAAATACCATATCGTAGCATAAGCACAGCATTTTAAGATCTACTACTTGGATTTCCTGCTTTCTTGGAGTGACCCAATTACAGGCTGTCATGAGACAGAGGGTTTAGGTATGACCATGTACTGTTGTCAAACAGAGCTCTCCAAGTCACAAGTCAAATATTCTATTCAGTATGAAGGACCACTGAAAGCCTCCTAGCAAAGTCTATTACAAAAGGAGCTTCCAATGGCGATGCTAAGGAGGATGTAAATATTCTCAAGGCTCATCATTTATCACTTAGAGTCACAAAGGAAGCGTTGTCTCTTTAGTGGAGCTGGCAGTGAGCAGGAGCCAGCGACACAGCATCACAGATATCAAAGCACACTTTTTAGCAGACTATATACTGTGGCAAAAAAAAAAATTAAGCTTGCAGGTAAAAGTGTGGCTCCTGGCACCTGTTCTTACTAGTCTTAAAATTCTGGGCAAGCTAAATCCTCTCTACACCTCATTTTGTCATTTTTAAAATGATCTGCCTCCCACACAGGACTGAAGGAAGGACCAAATGATGAACCATTTAAAACCAAATGTGAAAGTCCTCTTAATTGATAACACACACAATCAAAATGACAGGTAATGCTTTAAAAAATTTATTTTCTAAGTATATCTAGTACGCAGATCTTGGTTCTAAATACCAGTCCCCACTAAAAGGAACCAGGGCTCCTTGGGAAAACAACAGATTCCAGGTTTGAAGGAAAGTACAGGTGAGCCCAGAGTGTCTTGTGCGAGAAAGGATGGAAGTACTCAAAGACTGATGGGGCCATTTCTAAAGGACACAGAATCCCACTGGCAGGTAAATAATAGTCACAGAAACACAATATAGCACACTGAATATAAAAGAAATCCATGAGTCCACAGTGATACTGAAAGGGGGAGGAGGGAAAGGAGCTCCTTTTTTGGGGGAAAAAAGCCAGTTAATAAATAAATGCAAAGGGATTGACAATTAGAAAATCACTACATCGCAACCTCAGATGTAGTAACTGAGTCAAGGCAAGAATCATTAAGAAATGCTAACACAATGGAGTGAAAGGTGGATGGAGAACAGAATCGTCACAGAATCCCAAGGACTACCCTAGATACATATGTGTTAATAAGGAAGAGAAAGAGCTGGGAAATGTCACATTAAATTGATTAAACTTTAACATTACTGATAATAGAACGATTTGACATTTTGTCTACCGATACGATGTGAGGGAAGTACACAGTGTCACCTTGACAGCATTCTTATCAAAAATGCTTAACTTAAATCTAATCTTGAGGAAAGAATCAGACAACGCCACACGTAGCCGAGACTACTGAAAAATACCAATGTAATGAAAGAGAAGAGAAATATCATAACCAAAGGTAATATACAAGCTTCGCTTGGATCTGGGATTAAAACACACACATACTTCCAACACTTATATTTTTTAGACAATTAGGAAAACCTGAAACCGGGCAGTCTACTACACAGTAGTGAATCAGTATTAAATTTCTTGGCTAGGTTAATGGTGTTAAGAGAATGTCCTTGATTTTAGGAGATACACGTGGCAGTATCTGGGGGGTAAACTCCATGGTGCCTGCAACTTATTTTCAAATGATTCAGAAAAGAGAATACACAAATACGGGTATATGAAGATTCATTGCACTAGCTTTCCTTTTGGTATGTTTGAAATATTTCAAAATAAAAGGCTACTTTCTTCCCCCTTAGAAAACCTCTCTGGTCTGTGAAGACCCTTTCAGTGAAAAGAGGAAGATGGCCGGTTTACCTAAAAATCCTCAGGTGGAAAACATGTTACTATTTTATCTTGTGGACTTTTTTTCTTGTTTTTCATTTCCCCCTGCAACTTTTTATTATAGTAAAATGCACAGAACATAAAATTTGCCGTCTGAGTCATTTTTAAGCAAACAGTTCAGTGTTGTGGAGGGAGCACATTCACACTGTTGTGTTACCACCACCATCCGTCTCCAGAACTCCTTCCACCTCGCACAACTGAAGCTCCACACCCACTAAACACTAACACTAACTCCCCACTCTCCCTGTCCCCCTCCCCTGGCAGCGACCATTCCACTTTCTATGATCTCAACTACTTCAAGTGTCCCATGTAGATAGTTCCTTCTTGTGGAATCACACAATTCTGGCTGTTAGTGACTGGCTTGTTTTTGAGATTTCCTTCAAAAATCAGTTTACAAGCTGGCCAAACTGCCGATAAAAACAAAATCCTTAGAGTCTGACAGTTAAGGTATGAGGGAGACCTTCCCTGAAGGCTCTAGTGGCAGTAAAGTGGACATAAAAAGGTCTCCTGTAACACTATGGGCCTAGAACTCGGATTGCATTTTGACTCGGGAAAATCTCTGTCAGCAGCAGATAGGCCAAGTATCAATACTATTTCCTGAACTGGCCCTCCTCTTCCCCAAACCAGGCTGTATATGAGCTTCCAACAAGGACATTTTGCAAGTCATCAGAAAAACTCTAAGTATTGGATTTTCCTCCAACAAATGGAGAGAGAGATTGGGATGCTATTGTTCTGTTGACTTCAGGGTGAAAACTAGGATAATTATGGAAAGCCCACCAAATAATATCTTTCAGCAGTAGCCTTTTGTGTTTGTAAGAATTCCTAACTGGTTAAATATACCCAGTATATGTAAATGTATCCAAGGCACTACACACTGGCTATTCCCTCTACGAGAATGTTCTCTCTCTCCTGCCCGTCCTTCTTTTTAAGCTTACTTTGTGCCAGCAACTGTTCTTAATGTTTTTGCATAAATTATCTGAATCTTCCTAATAACCCTGAGAATGGTACTACTGTCACCCTCATGTTAAAGAAGAAAAAGGCATAAAAAAGTTAACTAATTTTATAAAGATCGGAGTCGGCAAGCACGGATATGGGATTTGAACTCAAGCAACGGGACTCCAGGGCACGGTCCTTTCACCACTACCCTCTCCTGCTACATGCAGGTGCTAGGAATATAGTGGTCAATGAGACAAAAGTCTCCCTGGGGAGGGAGAGACAGACAATCAATAGTAAACAGACACAAGATACACCCTGGTTTTGGTGGAGAGAAGTACTATGAAGGAAAACAAAGGCTGGCAGATAGGTAATAGGGAGGAGAGAAGGGCAGGAGGAAGACTTTTAGGTTAGGTGGTCAGGGGACGTCTCTCTGTAGGGACCACCTTTAGTCAGAGATCTAAGCAGGGAGGCTGAGATCTCTGAGGGGAGTGTTGGGGGGGTGGGGATCCCAATCAAAGTAGAACTAACAGCAAGTACGATGGTCCTAGAAAGAAAGGAGGACCTTTTCTTGTTTTAAGGAGAAACAAGGAAACCTGGGTGGGTGGAGTGGAGGAGTGAGAAAGCAGTTGTGAAGGAGGCAGACAGGGACTGGGTGACGGACGGCCTTACAGGACATGGTAAGGACTGTGGATTTCATTCTGAGGGAAGCCACTGGGCAGTTTGGAAGCTGGGAAGTAACAGGGGTCTAGCGTATGTTTTAACGTCACTCTCTGTGGAGAACAGCCTGGGACGGCAGTCATGACGCTGTCCTGGCAATGTTGAGGGAGATGGTGGTAGGAGGTCCAGGGGGTCAGCAGTAAAGGTGGTTATCAGAGAACGGGGCTGGGGTATGCTTCACGGGTAGAGGAAGTATGACCTACTGATGATGTGGTCATGGGGTGTGAGAACAAAAGGAGAAACTGAGGACGGCGCTTGGGATTTGGCCTGAGCTGATTGCTCCAGTTTAGATAGGTTAACCGTCAGATGCCAGTCAGCTATGAGGTCGTCAGCTCATAGCTGTGTGTGGCATCTTCAGGTCAGGGCAGAGGACTGAGAGAACACCAC